CTTTACCCTGGGCAAAGGAGAACGTAGCTGGGCCACATGCAGGCCAGGAACCAGTGGAACAACCAGGCGGTTTGGCAAAACCAAGAATGAGGCAATGGCATCCATGATCATGCTGTCTGACATTACACTGAGACAAAGGAGGGAGTAATTTCAGGGAAATCATACTACTGCGCTGCTTAAATAATTTATTGTTCAGTCCACACAGTCATAATATATTGAGAGGTTGTTTTATTATAATGTTGTGGCTATTACTAATGTGTAAACCAAAGTAAAGTTATTTCAGCATGACTCACTTGAGTCCAGGGATGTCCAACAAATTAGTCATTCCAGTCCAATTGATGTCTAGTTTCTGGGAAGAGATAATAGACAATAGGAGAATGTACTTTATGCAGAAAATCAATCAGGATTGATGAGAAATCAATAGCAAGAACAGCACATGAGGCTAAACTCAGATATATGATAGTCACAGGAATCAGGGTTGAGGGCAATTTAAGAAAAGGACAAATAGAGGTGAATGCAGATGGACGTACGGGCCTCTGGATGAAAAACATGGTGACCGCACCGACTATGGGCACATCTCCAATCAGAGGCTCCAGAATCACCCGCATCATCCCATGTAGCTTAAGACAGAGAAACAGGAAGGATGCTTATGAAATGAAATGATGTTAAATGCTAACGCAATGGCAGATTTTCTGTGTGTTTCAGCAAACATTTAGAAGCTTTAGAAATGTTGTTGCTCAGTGACTTAACCACATAATATTTTTAAGCTTGATAAGAATCCACACCTGTATTCCTTTGACTCCGGCTTTGCAGAAGTATCTTTTCACCTCAACATTGATCTCTACATTACCAACATAGCTGAGGATTAAAAGAAGCAAAGTGTCACCTACAATAATGCCTTTTGAAAGGTGTAACACTGAAGTGACAGCAACTCACAAACCCCAAAAACAATGGACAAACATTTACCTGATATATAGATCTAGCAGGACTTGTCCCTTGTCATTCTCTGTGTGTGCCTTGATCCCTACAACCTTCATGGCCTGGAGCAAACAGAGAGCACATTTGTTTGCATAAAATAAACAACATGCATCATTTGTGTGAATCTTTACAGAATTCATAGTGTCGTATAGTTAAAGTATCAATGCCATCACCTTGTCACCCATGTCCACTTTTGTGAAGCTGAGGGTCTGGAGGTGGGTGCTTGAGGCTCGGATAGATGGAGCGATGGTTTCCACCAGCAGCTTCTCGAGGTATTGGCCGACAAAAGGCCACACCTGCTGCAGCACCTGGCCGGGCCATTAAGAGCACAAGGTTATGAGCTGCTTGGTAGATTACATATGATGTACATCCCTGCAGTATTCAACCAGAGACTACTGCTTTGAGTAAACTTTGTAATTTTAGCCATGTACATTGCAACAAAACTATCTGTCAGATGCCTTGGTGTCCATAAGCAAGAACAGAGGAATGACAGGGACAGCTGCAGCCAGTTGAGTCTACTCAGCTGTTAGTCTTCTTATTTGGGTCCTTGAATGAATGCATGCCATGCTCTGCATGTATTCACTTTTTACAAAATATTAATATTGCTTCATTAACTTTCCAAGTCTTCATTCCTACAGCGAAGGAACAAAAAGCAGAGGCAGTGTTTGGTTGTGCGCTTGTGTGACCGTAGAAAAGAAAAACTGCATTTGTTCCAGTCTAGCATAAGTAGAGAGTGAGTCATCAGCCGCCTGCTTCTGTGGAGGATAGAGCTTGAGCAACAGGGGAATCTGGTGACCACCCCTCCAGTAAAAAGTCTCAAACCTCTGCTTTGTCTGCTCTCAGACGCTCGGATCTCGTGGTCCTGTTAGCATGAATACTTTTATTTCTGTATATCTATATTAGTGGCCCGTGTCTCTCTCGGCTAGAAGAGAAAGTTGGAGGGGGGACAATAGCTGCAGTTTTATTTTGTTTGGGGGGGGGGGGCACTGGGTAGCTCCGCCCCCGTCCTGTGAGCTTGTCTGCAATGAAATGGAAATGTTGAGAGGGTTGCCTGGCACTGGGCCTGCTCTCTGCAGTACAGACAGTGTGGCTACACTAATGGGGGTGGGGTCTTTTCTGGAACATGGCAGCAACAGCAACAGCGCTACCATCTATCAGCTAGCACCAGCTATTAACCTAGCATACATTACAAAGTGTCAATCAGCACAACAGCTGGGCTACTGAACAGACAGGCATGTGTGTCTGCTGTTGGCTTAACAAAGGAGGAATAAACAGCATCTTTGTGTAAACTCATATGGTGAAAAGATGAAGAGAAATAGGAAAGCACTTTTACCTTATTCAGCCACTCAACCTTTTCAACATCTGGAAAGTTGACCTAACGGAAAAAAATACAATGAGGGTGCATACTGTAATTAGATTTTGTACAGAGCATGATAAACTCAAAACAGAACAGGGAAATGATTCAGCCATAGCTGATGCATGTCTGAAAATGTCATCAATAGCACTGTTGATATCATACCAGTGCTTTTTGCAGCAGGCTTTAGACTGAGCAAATATTTCCAAAAGAAAAAAGGAAAGCAGATAAGTTCAGCAACTGTCCATTCAAAGATCACTTTGAATGATATAGCTGGCTAATACATGATTTATTTTTGCATTAAGGATTCTTTTGCAGTGTAAGTGACTGAAATGTCTTCTCCATTTATATTTAAAAGGATTCTGTCAGAGAAAATCCTGACACAGTGTGCATGCTGGAGAGCAGCACTGGAAAGCAATATGGAGAAGCACGCAAGCAATCACTGAAATCGCTCCCTGAAACAAGTATGCACAGGAAAATAATTTGGGTGTGGCCAGATTTACTGAGTTAAAATAGACCCGTGTGAGTTTCAGCATTTCCATGTTTGGTACATATAATATCAGGCTGGATGACTTGCAAATCAAGACCTACAAATTTTAGTCACCTTTAGTTAATAGTGCACAAATGATTAGAGGGTTTAAGTGTTGCTGCAGTGGTTACAGAGCAGTCAGGATTGCCCCACTATGCTTTTACTGTAGTCTCAAAATACAAACACACACACACACAACCACATACACACACAGCAAACCTGGCCACTGTATTAGCGGAAATGATAGGGAACATAACATAAACACAAAGGAACTTCTGCACAACTGTTCGCACGCATGTTTCACTGAGGACCTGAACTCCATCAGGAGCATTAAAGGAAGCAGTTTAAGAAAAAATGAAAAAAGAAACACTGACCTAAAGAATAGTGTCTACAGGGAAAGCATTTGAGGAAAACATTTCCCTTAACCCTTTCTGATACAGACCCCAAATTATAGGTTTTTCGAAGTGGAAAGTTTAAGACTATTATGTGATTCCAGAGCAGCTAAGAATAGCAATTATTGGGCTGGTCTACTGGAAACCAAATCTTTGTCACACCCTGCAAGTCCCTGTAGGAACATAATGATTTTAGGGTGCACTGCTAGGTTTTGCCTTGCTTTACGTAATGTGAGGTTACTCTAGGTCAAGGTGGGTTCAGAGGGATGGTAGTGTCCAGGGGTATGGTTAAAGATTTTTGATATCAAAAGAGACTCCCTGACAGGTGTGTGGCTATGTCTTACCCACGCAGGGAGGTCTCGCTTGATTTTGGACACCTTCATGGATGTGTACTCCTGCTCGTTGTCGAGCAGCTGTATGGCTGACTTCAGGCGCGCCTCCTTGGCTTCTCGGGCATGCTTCCATCCCGTGTAGACCATCATCCCGAACACCAACAGACTGGTGCTGACCCGGTAGTAACCGGCCAGGTAGACGGGCAGCAAGGCACCCAGACATTTCCCAAATGTCCAGAGCACCGCGACCGCACTTATCCCCTTAGGCTCAGGGGTTTGCGTGGCGACGGTACTCTCTGGTTTCTTCTCGGTGTCGCCTGTGCTCAGACACTCGGTGCCCTTGGGTTCACTCGGTTCCGACTTGTCGTTTTCCATAATGGTATATCCCGAAACTAAGATACAATCACTAATAGGTTATTGTTTGATTTAAAAAAAAAAGTGCGTTTAAAAAAAAAAGCGTGTTAAATGGACTCAATTGTCACTCTAACGTTACATTTCTAACGTCAGCTTCCTACCGTTTGAACAAACGCACTGCAGCACTTAGCTTTCACTCTCGCTAGCTTAGTTAACTATTCTCCCGTGTCGCATCTTCTTTAATGATATTTACGCATATTTATTATCGCTGAGGTGGAGCAGCTTCCACTGACTAAGCAAAGGCCTTGAAGAGTGGTCGACAGCAAGTTCTGCCCCTCACTCCGTCCCGTTATCTGAATGAAAACACGCCCACTGGAACAAAAAAAAGCATCTTTGACTCTTTCGCTGCTGCGGTAAGACAGTCATCCAGTTTATTGAAATTACCGCCATTACTGCGGCATTACGTTATTCAAAAGCAAAACTTTCCTCGGCATTATGCGTGTTTCTTCAAATTTCACTGTCTGATTAAAAAAAAAAAAAAAAAGTAAGTTTACCTGTCTGATGAAGCACAGGAAAGCTTAATTTCGAGGAGAAAATATTGTGATACAGCCATGTGGTACATGGCTTCGTGTCAAATAGTTTACCCAGCAGCACTTCTAGACAATACTTTCTGCAGCTCCAGTTTATTTTAAAACAGCAGACTGGGCACTCTCCTCAATCCCTAAATCCGGTATGAGTGCACACGCCCTGGGACGAAATGATTGCTTATGACAGACCAACACCAAATACTTCCATTTGTTTGAAGAGCCACACGGATATGAGACTACTGAAGAAACGGGGCATTATATTCAAGTTTAAACAGTGTGACTCCACCCAAACAACTCAAGCAATGGGATGGTAACATGAGCATCTGCCACTGTCAAAAGTCATGACTTATCTTGCCTGTATGAACTATGAATATATGATCCTGAATAGAAGACAGTAGCTGTAAACAAAGTGACACATAACACAAAGTTCATTTTTGAGTGGTTGTTATTCTTTTTTTTTTTTTCTTTTTTTTTTTAAATGTGTAGTACCAAAGTTAATTTGCACAGAGCAAACCACAAAAATATAAACACAAACTGTTTCCAAAGTCTTCATATCCCAACAAGGATGGCACAGCAGTCTTGCAGAAGTGGTTCAAACACTATGGATGAACTCACATATTTTGAGTTTGTTGCCATTTTTGGTGTCCATGTTTGAGGAGATACCTTTGGTACACAGACCTTTGCCAGAGTTTACAGGTCACTCAGCCTGTATGGAAAAATGTCTTTGTAATGTTGCCACAGAACACAGAGTGAGAGAGGCTGTACAGAGAAGTCTTTATTCTGCCCTCTGGTGGAGAAGCACAAGTGTCTATACCTCAACTCTTGTGTTATGTCATCAGTCGAGTCTCATACAAATAAAAAGGAGACCATCTATGCTCAAAATCCCCACTGAGGATGCTACAGTCTGACTTGTGGGTACTACAGTTTTGACCATGAATCAGTTAGTGAGGCAGAGTTGTGATCCTCATGCTTTGACTGGCAATGGGGTACGACACCATCGGGGTGGTGGCATGACTCATGGTAATACCAGGCAGAGGCTGCGTCATAGACACTGCCACTGGTGCCACAGATACAGCCACCGGTGCCATAGAAACTGGAGGTGCCATTCCTTGGGCAATGGTCTGTGCAAGGGCAGCAGAGAGGGGGGTGATCTCAGGGTTTAGGTGGGGTGGAGGAGCAGTAGGTGGGGCCGCATTAGTTGGGGGCGCTGCAGGGGCACCGGTGGGAGCTACCAGGTCTTGCTGTGTAACAGGCCGAGGCTGCAGTCCAGCGCTGCTCAGGGTGGTGTGAGTCTGGGCGATGCTATGATTGTAGGAACTTACTGCACCCACAGGGGGCGCCAGACTCTGCTCAGTGGGTGCAGGAGTGGAAGACAGCGTCATCACCTTGGCCTGGCTTCGGAACTGGGCGTTCTGCTCCAGAAGAACCTCATTTGTGGCAATGAGATTTGAAACCTGAGAAACACAAGAAATTGATTAGAAAAGAAAAAAATGTCTGTGTGCCAGACTCCAAAATGGTAAACAACCTGAAACCTTTGAAAGCACATTAAATAAACTATAGCTACTTCAAGTAAAAAAAATAAATGACTATTTACTGATAGCCAACAATTCTTAAAATTTTTTATGAATAGTTGCTGTCCACTGTCATGCAGCTTTTGCTGTCATTGATTCTACACATTTTTGCAGAATTTTGCAACAGTCTTTGAGAGCAGAGAGAGCCTGAGTCTTATAATGCTACAGAATGTCTCTTTTTCTCTTTTTAAAATGGAAATGTATTCCCTGGTGTTTTAGTCAGGTGACTGAAGGGAAAACCCATTCAAGCCAGATGTTTCTTGAATTCAAACAGATCTGATAACTGTTCTCCCTTCCTGTTTAGGCACATTACTGCTCCAAAATAAATCCATCAGAAGGGATACGATGTCTGTATAAAATAAAAATGTTCTTCTGTTGTCAATATGTATTTGATCATCCTCCAGTCAGAAACTCCACGGTGGGCAAATATCATCCAACCTCGACATTTCCTCCAATAAATTTGAATAAGTTTCATGCATTCATTACAGCAATAATCTCTCAGCTGCCTCTTCACATTAACTCTACAAACTTTGTTTTATGTGCAAATAAAACTTTCTCATAGTCCTGAGAATCACTGTTTGGTCCATATTAAACTCTTAGTTTGTTTAGAAGCTGCTATCACTATGAAATGTTGAATTGATATGCATTTTAAATACAGGGACCAACACTAGTCAATAACTAAATATAAGTAATCAATGTTTTCTTATGCTCATACTCATGAGAGTGAAAAACTCAAGTGACAACCTAGTGCTTAATCGACCTTTCACATGATACTCATGTGAAAAGACCATATTAGTGTACCAAGTAACAGTTCCATTTGGCAGTATACTGCAATCTGATTCAACAGCTGCCATTGCTGAGCTGATAAAATTCAATTATTTGTTACAACTTTGTTAACACATTGTATTGCATAACATTATACTGTTAAATGTACCTGTCATTTTGCACACAGTCATATCTGATATTAGTTGTTAAAAAGACAAAACATACTAGAAAATAAATACAAACGTGTTTACATTTGTCTGTATTATAAGTGCTATGTGTTCATTAGGGAAAGGCTAACTAGTCCTGTATGATTTTAAGGATTTCTCAGAGATCTAAAAAATGTTATTTTGTTTAAGTTCCAAATAACGCTTGGTTTTTCCCCATCTCTCATTCTAACCTGCTTCTTCAACTCTTCCACTCTCTTCCTCAGCAGAGAGTTTTCTTCCTCCAGGAACCTGTACTCCAGAGGACGTGACGGCAAGGTGGCTTGAATTCCTAGCTCATAGTGTCCACCTCCGCTCCCATCTGCCAGACGCAGTCCCTCCAGCCGCCGCCTCTTCAACTGTAGAGCAGTGTGGTCCATCGAGGCTTCCAGGGAACCAGCATCAAACAGCCCATTCTCAAGTAGAGGATCATACACTGAGCACGCGCTCCTGTCATAACGTCGCTGTCCTGAAGAACTTATCGACAGGCAACCACTCATTCCACCTCCACCTACTCCCCCTATTCCTGAGATACCTGGATCTCTGCAACCACCCAAGCTGGGACAGCCTATCCCCATTATATTACTCCCACCTCCACTTCCCACAAGTCCCTGTATTCCTCCACAGGTACCTCCTCCGCCAACACCCATCCCTCCCCCAGGATTCACCATTCCACTGGCACCTGGCCCTATAACACCACCCACTCCAACCCTGGAAGGCTCATATTCGTAGTCTTTTTTGACATGGCGAAATTTACATTTGTTGCCCCTCTGGCACTCTCCCGTCAGGAAGTCTCTGCAGATAGGGACCTCCCCACGGCTATGGGGGAGATCCATGGGGGACAGGCCAAGTCGAGCTGCAACCTTCCCTCTCAATCTGAGGGGTAACTCGCCTGTTTTCTTGTAGTGGTCCTCGTCCTCTTTAGATCCATGGACAAAGCGGCAGTTGGAGCGCATACACTCCTTATTCTGATGATCATGACAAAAGATGAACTCATTCTTTTGCACTCCTAAATCCGGCACCTCATTAAAGTCTGGGTGTCTAAAGCGGCAGCGTTTCCCTCTCTTGCAGACATTGCGTATGAAGTCCCTGCAGACACCGTCCAACGCCAGTCCTGAACCCTGTCCCCCACCTCCACCGTTCCCACAACTGTTGCCGTTTCCAAGTGCCCCTCCTCCCCCCATGCTCCCAGAGCCAGAGATGTTTCCTCCAACACTTCCTCCTGAACCCCCTCTGCCCTCTGCTGAGCCCCCCACCAAACCAGACCCAGGTCCTCCTTCCTCACCCAGACTACCACTGCTGCCACCACCACCTGACAGGTAGGAACTGTCCCGGTCAGGCATGGCGCTCGGCCCAGCTCAAGGAGAAAATTGCACTCATCTCATGTATATGAGGGGGGGCTGACGTGACCTGGCAAACAGTCACTTACACAGGTAAAGAAATCATGAATTGTTTTTGCCTTTGAGTAGTGAAGTCTGCTCTTCAAAGGTCTGCAAGAGAAAAAAAAACAAAGCCAAGTTGAAATATGTGTTATTGAAATAGGAGTTTATATATGTGTGTTATTGTGTAAGCTTACATGATGTTGAAGTGCTGTGTGTATCTGTTTACTGCAATTGTGATGATTGTGTAAGGATGTGAGAGTTGGTAAATAAGTAGCGCTGGTGTTGTTAAATAGAGAATGAGCATCAGTCAATTTCAAATCACGTTTTTTCCCAATGTCTGGTGAACAATATTGCCAAAGCATCAGGTAAAGTACAATTTGTGTGTGTTCCATGTGTACAATAAGCCAAGTAAAGATGTTTATCACATTCAGTGATGCTGTTTTAATTATGTGTTCTTCAGGTTGCAGTCACATATTGTGCATTAAAGTATGCTGCATGTCTCTCCTGATATAAACTGGAGCTTTTCACTCATATCTGGCCCTGTGAAGTTTGGAATGAACAAATCAAACTTCTTAAAGTATTACACTCTGATAACATTATTATTTGTCACATTTTAAGAGGACGTGCATCTCTGCCTCTACCTCACCTGTCTTGCAGTGTCAACAGACTCTTCGCTCTTTTGGTAGTCAGGACTCCTGTGGACACACTGTGTCTGTATTTGGTCAGGATCTAGCTCGGCTTTGTATCTTGGGTTCTTGGGTTTGTAGTGCCTGAAATCCCAGCGTCTTGGGGTCTCTATGATTTACCAAGAATAAACGACCAGAAAAGGTTTTGGTAAAACAACACGAATTAAGCATTGCATTCACACCACACGATACTGAAATAAACACAAATGGTGACAGATGGTAAATAAAGAAACACCCGGACATATCATATTTCTGAATAAGTCTAAAACGTTGCAACGAGACCGTCGGGCTCTCTGGCTAGCTAATATTAGCTAACGATCGTTACATAGCTCGGCTAAATTCTAATGTTGTCTTACCAAGCATAAGCCAGGAGTAGGTTCCAGCTGAGCGGCTCCCATATAGAAACGACTCACTCTGATTCACTGAAACCTATACAGGTATTTCTGCCAACAACAGAAACCAGGCCTGTATTATTTTGGTAATTCCTCTAGGCCTCGGTGCTGTTTACCAAATTTCTCGATCTCTTTCACTACCAACGAAGAAGACGACCCTCTTCTTCTCCTTTTTCCTCGATCTGCTGTCTGCTGCTCTCTAGTGGTGAAAGTGGTGAATGACACCCAAGTATGCTGTAAGTTTGTTGTCATTTTCTTTTTATACAAGGAAATAATAAATACACGTTGTAAATGTGGATGTATTAGCGACAGTATCGCCAAAACAAGGTAAGTTAACACCGAGAATGGCCACGAACGAGGTCACATTTACTTTGATGCGCCTTTGCCACGTTTTTGTACGTAGTTTGGCTGAAATAGGCGTAACATCTTTAGTTAACTAAATTCTGTGTACCTGTGGTAGAAACAGAAGCCTAGCTCTAGCCCTGCTGAGTGTTGTTACTGCTGATGTGTAGAGCAGTCACTGGATAGTTTTATGTACATATGGAGATAAGCTGTTAAACCGCAAGGTAGCTGCCGCACAGACAAGATAAACTGTTTTGTGTAAGTTTGAGTTCCTCATCTGTGCCCAGACGCTCAACATGGCAGTGGTGCAAGGTCTTCTCCACTGGATGCAAGCCTGCGTGGTCCTGCTGCTCTGCTTATCTGAAGCCGTGCCCGCTGCCTCAGAGACCAACAGAAATTACTACGATACCCTCAGTATTGAGTCAACAGCAACTGACAGCCAGATAAAAAAGGCTTTCCGCAAACTGGCCATAAAGCACCACCCCGATAAGAACAAGAGCGCCGACGCAGAGAAGACTTTCAGAGAGATTGCTGAAGGTAAAACACGCCTGCAACACACTGTACTTTCCTGTGTAATCTATATTGTATATGTAATCTACACAATGAAATCATTTGCAATTTTCACTTTCAAAATTGATAATTTCTTTATTCTATTAATATGGCTCCATTAATACCCCCAGTTGCCATTTTCTTTAGTACCTTAGCTAATACTGATGCAGTCTAATACAACAGCCCTGCAATAAATCCTACCTTCATGAGGGCTTTATAATGTTCAGTGTTTTTTAGACTGCTTTAGCAGTGTAGTGTAATTTGTGGTGGTGGTGGTGTTATATTGGTTTTCCCAATATTTAGTCTACTCCTGATATAAATGTGGTGGCAAATATTAGAAACACGTTATACAGCCACACAATACAAAACTGAACATTGTAACCATGGTTGTTTTAGCTAGGTGTACCTAATGAACTCACACCTGAGTGTACATTCACTGTCTCACTCCTCCTCTAGCCTACACCGTGCTTTCCAACAAGGAGAAGAGGAGGCTCTATGATAGTGTGGGCCATGAGGCTTTTCTAAAAAACGAGGTCTCTGTTGATGCTGAGGATGAGGATGAGACAAGCTTCCACTTCAGTTTCCCAGACTTCTTCCATGACTTCGATGATAGTCCCTTTGTGGAGGAGCCACACTTCCACTGGAGCTTTCATCAGGATTGGGAGGATGAGGATGATCCATATGACTATTACAGTTTCGATGACTCTGGCTTCAACTTTTATTTTGGGGATGGGGATGAAAATGAGGAGGAGCACCACTACTAGATATCTAATTTCTTTGTCCTGTATAATGCACAACTATTATGTTTTAATATATTGTCTTTTATTGATAACAAAGTCTCCATATTAAATTGTTTACTTATGCCTTGTACTGTGCGTCTTTTATGGCATCACTTGTAAGTTCAGCGGTTGTTTACAGGCTTGTGAGGTTGTAAGGCTGACAGCTGGGTAACTGATTGGACCGTTATGCTACTTTTCCTATGTGGGTGTGTCGAAGGTACAGAGTTACTGGCTAACACACCATTTACTCATCTTTTTCCCTGAGCCAGCACTTTAGATTTGGCACTGTTTTACTCCATTTCTCTCAGGACCAGTGTGCACTTTGACCCAGAGGATATCCTGTGCCTTCTCAGCAGTTGGAGTGTGAGCGCACTAAAGCCTACATAAGACAAAAGAGCTTTGCAGCTTTATGCACTTTTATCGAGATAAAAGGAGATTTAAGATTTCTTCAAAGCAGATAAAAGACAGACTGGAAACATTAACTTACAATCTTGACAATGATGGTAAGTATGTCTGAAAATGTTGTTGTTTTTGACAACCTCTGAGTATCATGTGACTTTTACTCCAGGCAGGCATCCGTATATACAGTATGCACAGTTACAGTTTTTTCTTCCCTTTAAATTTAGTTTACATAATAATGTGAATTTACTCCCAGCTATTGTATTCATAATATTAACAGCGACATTTTTTTTTATTACAGCAAGAGGTACAAGAAGTGACACCTTCTCTGAGTGTCCATGGTCATAACATCAAGGTAACAGAGGCGCTGAAAGACGGGGACACACTTACATTTCTGATTGTTTCTCAAAAGGTGAGAAAAAGATTCATTTACTTGTTATTTGTTGCAGGTATTGAAAACATTAGATCTAGATTAATACCGCAAACCACAAGGATAGGTCAGTTGGCATGCTTGAACTGATATTACAAACTGCTCAAACTGCTCTCTCCTGTGTGTGCCAGCTGTCTGGGACAGGGGAGTACCATGTGGTCCGGACCTATGAGGATTTTGAATGGCTGCAGCAGCACCTGTTTTCTGAGGAGGACGTGCCTGGGTTACAGGGAGTCATAGTCAGTACTTTAATACATCTGCACTCAGTTCTTTATTCGACTTGACTGGACACACAGTTAATGGGTCAACTAAATTAGTTGTTGGTTGTCTTGGTGGCTCAGTCAGTGATCTATTGTTCTTTGTTTTCAAGATTGAACTGCCTTCTTTACAAGTTGAAAGTGATAACTGAAAATTATAACTTAAAATTATGCAGTCTTGAAACACAGTGCTTTTGTGACTGAGAAAATCACAAACCACAATGTTTACCACATACACTCACTTAAACAGCGGTTTGAAAATGTGCTACTGCCGTCCAAATTCTGGGGAACAGTTTGTTGCTTTTCAGACACTTCCTCTTTTTTCCTACTTTATTCATGCTTTTCAGATCTTAGTGCTGCCATCCTGCCAGCTTCCCCAGAACTGTAGAAAATGAAGCAGAAGCTTTTACTTCAGATCATTTTTTTTTTTTTTTTAAAGAAAATGCAGCAGATTCATATGAGGAAGTATTTTACTTCCTTTACACGGTGACACGAGAGTTTATGTGTAGCAGGGCAGAGTTTGTGATGTATTACACAAGCACACACTGTGTGATATCAAAGATCCTTAAGGTTCATATTGTGTCCATGCTGTACCTCCAAGCACAGCATATTTCAAAAAACCATTAACCTATTTAGGTCTCCAGTGCCAAGCACCTAATGAAAGAAAGTTTTGACTAAACAATAGAATAAATCATACTTTGAAAAACAACATGGGCTTTAATAGAGTTGTACTCCCTTTTTTCCTTCAAGTTTCCTCCTGTTCCGGCAAAGGCTCAGGTGAATGCATCTGCCAAGGTCATGAAACAGCTTGGTGAGTATATATACAGTATATATATATATATAAATACAATAAATGAAATTTCAGTGTCAGTTCTGTTGTACAGTGTTGAGTGAGTTATTCAGTGTTGTGGTGAAAATGTTGAATGCTTCCCTGCAGGTTTCCTTGGCTTGGGAGAGTGGCAGCCGTACTGTAAAGCATTGGAGACTTTCCTCCGGCAGGTTGCTTCACACAGCATCCTCAACAAAAATAAAGCTGTGGAGATCTTCCTCACTAGCACAGATGTAAGTGGACACAGATAAACAGCTTTTTACTTCTATTATCCTTTCTTTTCTTTCTTTTTTTTTTTTTTACAATTAGCACCAGTAAAAAGAAAGAATTTATGTGAATTTATGTTATGTGCAATGTGATTTTATGAGAGGGAAGGGTAGTAAATGGTTAAACGTTCACCGACATTGTTTCAGAAGAGGGAATGAAGAGATTCATGTGACCAATATGGCACTCTCCAGATATATGGAGGAGTGAAGGCCAATTATCTGCACCTGCACTTCACCCCAAATGAGATGGTCTGCAGTGTAGAATCATAGTGAGTTTCTGCCTGTAGCCCACACACCAAACCTTCATAAGGTTCTTCTGAAGTTGCCCTAAGAAATGTGCCCTGTGACTGTGTGTAACCTCAAAGTTAACCTCACAGTACAGTAGATGTCTCCGGGACCACATTTTGCCTTGATGACACACACCCACCTTAAAACAGACCCTCACACAGACTCAAAAGGTGGAAACAATGCTGGCCTACTGTCACAGCTGGTTGCATGTGACTGGCGGGCTGCAGGTTTTGGGATTCTGAGCAAAACATACACAGACTCTGTCCGCAAAAAATCTGGCAAAATGAAAAACCATGGAAAATGATGGCCACAGCTGGAAGAACCGTTTAAATGGGCTCGCTTTCACTGTTGGACTGTGGCACACAGTTGTAAAAGTACTTTTGTCTGTAGATAAAAAAAAAAATGGAAGAACAAAACAAGCTGGTGAAGTGTCACAAAATCAGTGCTTTGAAATTTTCAAAAGGGACCAGGTGGTGAAGTGAACTCCACAAAAGAAATAAGAGTACAAGCTCTCAGCCTGCCGGGTTTGAATAACACCAAAGAGTAAACAAGACCTCACAGTCTCGGTGCTTGAGTCAAAAAAAATGCACTTTCCAAACAACTTTGTTTTAGAAGAATATTATTAATGTTCCTGTTGTCACACTATAGCCCTTAACAAGGGAAGGTTCATTTACATACAAATGATATCAGTTTAGCATATTTTTGATAGGAAAAACTTTGTCTTTACTAAGCCATTCGTCATTTCAACTCTGCATTACAAATTTATTATGAATACAGGTATGCATTGATCTGTATGTATTCAAGAAGACACACACACACACACACACACACACACACACACACACACACACACACACACACACACACATATACACTGAGTAATCCTGCCTCTTTGCTGTGTTTAAGTCAGAGTTTATGTCACTGTTGGACATGTTTCAAGTCCTGATGATGATACAGTTCTTTCCTGTCTGACTGCATCAGCCTCATCAAGTCTGGAATGCTGTGTATCAAGCATTAGCAGTCTCTTAGTGGCACAGGCCAAAAATGTCTTTGGATGTTCCGAGAGTGTGTGTGTGTGTGTGTGTGTGTGTGTGTGTGTGTGTGTGTGTGTGTGCGTGCGCGTGCGTGCATGTAATCACACACTTTGTAACACTAATAAACACTTTATATCTGGTGTGATGAAGCTGAGGCAATATTTTCTCTGACTTTCACATTGCATTGTGTCTCAAAGACAGTGTATCCGTCTGTAAGTCCTCCACTCATGTTTGGATGATTTCATATACTGTGCATACTGCGCTTAAACAGTATTAACTTGAAAAAGTTGGAGCTTATTGGTGTGTTTGTGTGCAGCCTCCAGGCAGACAAAGAGTAAGGAAAAACATTTTCAACCGGCTGAGTCAAGCTGTGGAAGGGATGAGGAAAGAAGGCCATAAGGTACACAACTGGGACTCATGCAGACAGAATTTACAGCCTCTACACCTGTATGTGAAGTTTTAATGCAGTAATGGCTTGCGTTCGCAGGATGTGGATGAGTTCTTCCAAACTGAACGTGACCAGAACCTCCTCCTAACTGGCTACACAAAGAACGCAGCCGAGGTTGTTGTTTGTCTTTATGAGTGTTCGTCTTCTGTCCTTTTACCTTCGCCCATACGACCAGATACACATTGTCCTGTTTGACTTTTGAACTTTCATTTTCCTTGCAGAGATTCCTGGATGTGGTGCTGACCCAGCAGAGTAAGAAACATGCTACATTTGTAAAAGTCCCCTGTGAGAACAGACAGAGAGATCATTGGTTGTAATTCACTGGTGTCATTTTTGTGTTCAAACTCAACACTTAATATGGGATGTGGATTCATGTATTAATGTTCTGCCACTTGACTATACCACATCCATCGGTGCCAAGTCTGATGTTACTGTGTGTGTCATGTTGTGGTTGTTTGCAGAAATAGCAGTGGCCTGTGGGCACTTCTCAGCTGCTCTGCATCTCTGTGTGGAAGCAGGGGAGGATCCTGACAAACAGGATTTTTCTAGGTTAGACCATATTTGTATTGGTCACACACCCATATCACATGTTCTTCAAGTTAATGCCTCTTAACGTTGCATACAAGTTGTAATAAGTTGGTTTGATTATACAAATTATAAAAACACCTTTTTTTCTTCACAGGATCTGTGTGAAACTATCTGAAGTCTTTGAATCTATGAAGGTAAGTTGTTTGTCCTTTTTAACAGAAATAGATTCACATCGTGATGGACCATCACTAATCATCTGCAGATAATTTGCTTGTTTGTGGACAGAAAAATATGATGAGTGTTGCTGAGAACAATGTGAGCACTCTTGGGCTGGGCCTAGACCTGGAGTCACGCTACCAGGAGGCAGAGAAGGTGTGTTTTGTAGTTCTAAAGGTATTTTATGTTAATCATATGTACAGTGTCTCTCCATGTACCTTGAATCCCGGTCGTCTATTGAAATAAAGACTGAAAGACTAATAATGTAACATGATTATTATGTCCAATGCAGGAAATGCTGTTCAGGAGAACCTGTAAGCTAGTGGAGGTAGAGACTGCCAGGAGGAACGCAGAGAAGGCCAAACCTGTGAAGAAGACTGCTGTGAGTGTCTGCGCCCGAGTACAGCGTGCACATGCTGTTATGTGACCAGCAGGTGTCAGTAACGCTCTGCCGATAAGATTCAGTAGTAAGGGCTAGACAGCTAAGACGAAAGATGACGAGAAGACATTCGATGCAAGTATAATCTGTATATTAAGTCTGATTAAGACCAAGTATGTAATAATGATGACATGCGCTCCACATTCATCAGATGGAGGAGGTGAAGAAAGCGGCAGAGACGGAGTTCGATCACATTTGTGATGTCGCTAAAAAGGAGGTAAAACATCCAATTTAAAAACTGGATTCCCTGTTTCCACCTGGCTTACCTGCCTCCCCACTCCCCACCTCAAGCTTATTGTGCGGCATCCTGTTTGTTGACATGCCCTTTACTGTGTGTGTTTACATGCATGTGATGTGTTTCTTCCAGATTGTGCGGTTTGAGGGCGTCCGTGTGGAGATGTTGCAGCAGGCTCTGGTTCAGTGGTGTGAAAAGCAGCTCCTTACAGCCAAAGAAAGTGCTGACCAGTTCAACCAGCATCTGCAAGCCTTCAGAGGGATGGCCTAGTGACCTCACTAGCAACTTCCTAATGAAGCATCCTCAATATGTCTAAACATAGCATGGGGTAACCCAAACATGTCCTTCACCCTGTTGTGCTGTAGCCTGATGCATTATTGGACTCAGTTATATCCAGAATGAATGAAGAAATGTAAGTGAAACAGAAAGAAAACCTTCCTCATAATTAAAACGCATCCTTATAGATTGTATTCACACTTGTGCACACTCAAATAAACAAACACCTACTTTTCCTCAATCTCTCCTCACTCATACTCTTTCGTTTCGAAATGATCGTTTGGAGATCGTAGCAGGGGTATGTCATCTGCTAAGGCTATTGTATGTGTGTGTGTGTGTGTGTGTGTGTGTGTGTGTGTGTGTGTGTGTGTGTGAGTGTACATGTTCTATACTACACTCATACTCATTTGTGCTGAGAACGTATTGTGCTGCTCTGTAGCCACTACATCAGCCGGGGTCACACAAAATAAAGTGTGATGAATTGATTCCCAAAGTACCTGCTTGCCTTTGTGTGTGTTTCTTACTCCTGGATCATTAATCAGTGTGTTTGGCTGCTCCTGCAAGGACATGGCAACAAGGGCACTGTGCTGGCTTATTGTTTGGCTTTTGAAAGCATCTTGGCTTTGTGAATACCATAATAATGTTAATAATCTGCCTTACAATCATTCTATTTTCCTTTAAGCGAGATCTGGCATTAAAACTATGACACACTTAAAAGAGATTTTCTGCACATAAGCACAATGTCGTCCTCCCCTTCCCTGTCTGCTGAAGACTGTAGGTCCATATCTCAGCACCGCTGCGTGCTTCATCTCATCTGTTCCGGCCTGTAATCTCTCCATTGGGTGAATAAGGAGGAATGGTTCCCATTTGAGCGAATGAGTCAGAGAGAGATAGATGACTGGTCTCGTAAGAAGAGAGGATAGAGAGGAGGTTGGGCTCATTTGACAATGAAGGAGTAGGTAAATGGCAGTACATACATTGCCAAGAGCATGTTTATAATCCACCCAAACAGAATGAACTGGTGAGAGAAATTGTGTTATAGTTGTTGGTTAGAATGTAAATCTACTTGCTCTTTGGATGACTCCCCTATTTCTCTGATGGTTCTGTAACCTGATATAATTCCTGTACCTGATTTCTTGTGTGTACTGCTCCTCCCGAGCCTCAGATAAGATCCCACAATGCTTTTTTATTTAACGTATTTAATCTCTCTTTAATCTTTTTGTAGAGGTGGTCTCGGTCACAGAGCAATACACATACACAGTGTAGAGGCTATAAAGAGACTAAGGGTCTCAAGCAACGTTAGCGGCTCTGAGGCTGTATTTAGGCACAGTGGTGCTCAAAGTTAAATGCAAATGTCAGGCTCTTTTGAGATAAAGTGTGTGTTTTACAAGACACCTGGCCAAAAATGCTAACATGCCTCTTATAAGCAGGTATGATGCATACCATATTATCCACCCTATTTTAATGTGTTAACATGCCAGTGTTTGTGCACCTGAGGTAAATGGAAACATCATTAATTTTGAAAGTGTTTAGTCATAAACCAAAGAAGAGCCTTTTTCTCCACACTCCCAAACGTATCACCTAATTCCTTGGAAAAGCAAAATTTGTGTTCATATCGAATCACCTGCTAGTCGTCACTGAAATTCCAGTCTGTCTGTTTACACTCCATTTTATGTTTTGGAGATAGTAACAAAAAGACATTCACTCTCTCTTACAGTACACACATTTATTGATCATTAAATCTAGCAATTACACCATGCAAGTTTTGTACTTCATCTTTGTGGTTTATTGGTTTTAATGAGGCGCAGTAAAAGTTAAATGTAAGAGGTTTATGGACCATTTTTATGATTCTGTGGTTTTACCTCTTCTTTTTTTTTCTACCTCTATTCAAAAGCTTCTATGTACCTGAGAAAAACACTGTGGACACTGTGAGAGGTGGGGGATGATGAACAAAATGCATTATGCTGCACTTACACTAAGAAATACAAATGTAAAACTCTAGGATTCTATATATTGTATCATTATCCTTTCTGCTATTATTCAAAGCTGCTGCTTGTCACTGCATTATACCAGATCAACTTCACAACAGAGAAGCCGCATTTCTAGTGCTTTCATTGTGGTGCTACAGAAGCTAACTAGCGCGCATGGTGAGTGCATATGGGCAAACACACACACACACACACACACACACACACACACACACACTAATGAGAGCCCATCTCAACTGCTGAGAGTATGACCCAGATCAAGGACAGGAAGATCATGGCAATGCTCTGTTTGTGTGTAAGTGTCTATATGTGTGTGTGTGTGTGTGTGTGTGTGTGTGTGTGTGTGTGTGTGTGTGTGTGTGCGTGTGTGTGTGTGCGCACGCGCCCATGCCACTGAAAACATGCACTTATAGCTGATCCGCTAAAGTAGCTCATTACTGGTGGAAAGGCAGCACTCAGCACACCGCCCTATGGCCTGACAAGGACCGGTTTGTCAAGTGCAACGTTAAGGCAATAGCTTGTCTGAACAGACAGTGTGACAAGGCCTTTTGACTCAGCCATCCCAATGAAGCTGCACCGCACCAGTTTGATGACTTTGACAGTATGTCTCTTAGTCGGTCAGATGACAAAAGAAATGCGGAGCCAGATTACATGTGATTAGCAGCTTTAATCAGTGTTTACACAGGAGGTGTTTTATTGTTGCTTGTTGATTCTCTGGTGTCTTGAGTCATAAATCTCCACTGGGTGATTTACATTTCTCTGTGAGAAAAGCATGAATGAATCTTGGGTAACAGAAGTCACAATAATTGAAGAGGGCATGTTATATCTTGACAAAAAAAGTGAGAATAAAACAATGCATTACAGGATATTTTATTGGAGACAGATAATTCATCTTCTCCAAAAAAAAGCATCTGACTAACTATCAAAGAGTTTAATGCAAAATAAATTCAACATAGGCTACATGAGATATTACAATTTTTGTAATTTGATTAATACAGCAACTGTATGTGATGGCAGTAATAAATCAGAAATTCTCTTTTGTCTCTCTGTGACTAGTCCCTGGATCCCCCCCTTCAGAGATCCACATTTCTTTTCTCCATCTTCACAGCCATCTCTGATATCTTTGAGAATCTGTGACTCCTGGGAAGCTGCAAGAACAAAATTTGACTACAGAATGCTAATATGAAAGTTTCTCCTTTCCGCACTTCCCAATCGAGACTTGGCATCCCTGTCAATTACACCAGCCTTAAAATAAAATAAAAAAAGCAAAAATAAAAAACACACTCTGAGAGCCTTAATCCTGGATTCACTTGGTGAACACATGGTGCTCATGTCATGAGGTGCAAGGCTTGGTTGTGCTCTATCACAAATTAGTGAGCATGCTGCAGCTGAGTCGAGTCAACCCAAGGTTGTTGGCACCTCATTAAATCTAATCACTGCCGTACACAGATTATGACTCATTAAAAGTTTGTAGGATGGAGAATGAGACAGGAGGAGAGGCAGAGAAAGAGACGAATGCCATAATGCAGATGCCCTAACCATCTGTAGCATATACAGCTTCATCAGGCACATTCCATTCTGACTGTGCAGCACAGCACAAGGAAGGCATAACAAAACAGAACCTCTCAGCTCTAAAATCAAACCTGATGGCAGCACTCCACCGATGATTTGGATAGTGGATAGTATCAATTTTCCCCCCTTGCAATGGATTACAGCATTGCAAAGCATTAGACTTGCTAATTTAGTCAATTTCTCTGTTCACTACTGAATGGAGCCATAAATATTAATACTTCCACACTCCCCTCCTGGCTGCTTGTCATGCGTTCAAGGGATTGCGGGTGATATTGTTAATTAGGTTTGCAGGAAAAATGTCAGTGGAGAACCTATGGACAGGCTGAGGTGATGACTTTCCTGTCATTCTTAATGCACAGCAGAGGTGTCTGAATACACTGTAACATGGAAAACACAAATAGGAGACGTGCAGAGGGCAGGAAAAATTGCACCTCGTCACGATGGTTCATTTTTGTTTTCATTTAAAAGACTCAAACTAAATATTAAAGAAGGAAACACATCACAAATTATCATGGAGATATAGTTTTGTCATGTAAGATACAGTACAGTGATTATCAACAAGAACACAGTGAATCACTCTCTCTCTCTCTCTGTCTTTCTCTCTCTCTCTCTCTCTCTCACACACACACAAATACCAATTCACCCATTAGAGTAAAATCAATTATTCATCAATTCTTTCCACCACAGCTTTGACCAGAGGAGCAGGCTCTTCACTCCAGAGGTCATTTTGTCACATGTGTTCAACATGTGGCCTTTTCCAGTCTCTGTCAACAACAATGTGTCCCACAGCACACTCTGTGCTGCATGGGATGACATGTGCTTACTATAAAAAAACTACTACTGTAGTAACAGTTGTATTGTGTATAGAACATGGCAGCAATGAAAGAATGTGAAACCTGGTACATTTCCTGTTTTCCATAACTGCAAAGAAAGTTCAGCATTTTGAAAAATCAGTTAGATCTAAGACGATCTGATCTCTAAATCTTTTTTTTTTTTTTGTTATTATACTTGACCTGAAAAAGGACGGTGTAATGATAGCAGGAGAGGTCTGTGTCAGCTTTTCTACTGAAGAATAATTTTTTTTTTTCAGTTTGGTTAATTTGTTTTTGTAGATTATATAGTATGTTAGAACTATCATGAAAGAGTTTTCTAGGAAAATCTATTGATCACCAGAGGAAAGAGGTTCTTTTATCCCCATCAGCTACTTTACTGTGTCCCTGGAGCTGCGCAGGATTCACGGTTTTGTTCAAGGACACCGCAGCAGGGTGATATTTGCTGCCAAAGGGGCTCATACCGGGGCCTTCTACAGCGGTTGAAGGACAGGCTCTTTGCTCACTGCGCCGCGTTCATTTTCCAAATAAACATACAAGGGCAAAGGAAACAGATGGAAAGTCATCCCAGGCCCGACAGCAAACATAGGCTAAACATCTGTTGCAGGGATGTATCCAAGCCCACTCTGGAGCTCAAGACAAGTTTGGCCTCACCTTTCCTGCTGTTGTTTCCTCTGACTCAGACTTGGAAAAGAGATACAGATGGGATCACAAATGCCCCCTGGATACTGCTATTAAATTTCACTTTGCGATAATGCATGCTAAAGTCTCATTAAATCCCAGTCAGAGATAATGCATGGTAAACTCCCATTACAGTTTGATTAGAAGGTGCGGGGCCTGCCGTCGTGCTG